TGCTAGCTAAACAGCTTGTTAAAATGAAAATTTAGAAAATATAATATTTTTTTTACTAATTGAAATTATTTAAAAATATTAAAATTTAGTTACAAAGTAAGCTAATTACCTAGTGGCTAGTTCAAACCATTAAAATACATACAATTCCTTATGTTTTTGATATAATATTACTTTTACTTTTAGACCATTCCATTGATAATCTGATGGTTAAAAACAATGTTAATGAAATCAACAAACCAATCAATGAAGATACTGTGGAACAAGGTAAAAATAATTATTTATCAATTTATCTTATGCTAGCTAAATAGCTTGAAAATGAAAATGAAACCTACACCAGTTGTTTAAAGTGACATTTTCTGCAGCACATCATTTTTTTTCAAAATATTTCGTTAATTTTTCAGCTATTTATAGGCATTTGAAATATTTGATTTTTTTTTTTTATGTATAAATAAGACTTGACAATTTAATATAAGGTTTTTCATTTAGATTTTTTTTTATTTTAGATTTCTTCGAATCGAAAGTGTCAAATGATCCCAGTGTTTTTGCAAAGTTAAACTATATATCAGAAGAGCATAAATATTTACTTGCCACCATGGGTCCATGTCAACCAACACCTCAGGAAATGCCTGGTAAACAATTTCCTTATACAAACGGTAGATCATTCCATGAACATTATTATTACGCTCAAGTAAATAATAAAAAAGTCAGAAGATTCTGGTTATCATACTCTCCTATCGAAAATAAAGTTTACTGTTCTAGTTGCAAACTTTTTGGAACTCCTAAAGCTCAAAAACAGTCTTTAGCTACTGAAGGCACAAATAATTGGCCTAGAATAACTGAAAAAATTAAATTACACGAATGCAAGCCAGAGCATTTGAGTTCTGAAATAAATAGAGGAATGTACATAAGTAATCAAAGAGTTGATAAAGGCTTACAAACTCAAAAAAATAAATTTTTAGCAGAAAATCGAGAAATAGTCTTGGCAGTTTTTAGAGCAGTGTTATACCTAGCTAAACAAAATTCAGCATACCGTGGTCACAATGAAAAAACCTCATCTTCTAATCAAGGAAATTTTTTAGAACTTATTAATTTACTTGGAAAATACAATCCTTATCTCTCACATCACTTATGTAAAATTAGTGAAAATAAAAAAAAAAATCGTTTGACATTTTTATCCAACAATACCCAAAATAAAATGTTAATAATATTGAGTGAAATGGTTCGAGAAAAAATAATTGTTGAATTAAAAAGTAGTGGTGCTTTTGCTGTAATTATAGACACCACAACAGACTTGTCCAAGTTAGAGCAGTTGGCCTTTGTAGTGAGATTTGTAACTAATGATGGTAAAATTCAAGAACGTTTACTTGCACTACAAGTGGCTAGTGATGCTAGTGGAAAAGGTTTGTTCAATACTTTTAATAATATTTGTGAAAAGTATAAATTAAATTGGAAAGAAGAACTTATTGCGCAAGCGTATGATGGTGCAAGTTCAATGCAAGGCGAGTATCAGGGATTAAGAACATATGTACAATCCCAGAATCCAAGAGCTGTCTACATTTGGTGTTTCGCACATGTGTTGAATCTTGTAGTTGTAGATGTTTGCGAGTCAAGTATTGAAATTAAAACATTTATTTCTAACATCCAATCCCTGACTACATTTATGTCTGCTAGAAAACGGACAGCAGACTTTGTTGATTCGCAAATTGTATTGTATCCAAATGCACGGGTATTTAGAATGAAAAATCTATCAACCACCCGCTGGACCTCACACGACCGCGCAATTAATGTAGTTTTTACAAAGTACTTGGCTGTTGTGAAGTCTTTAGAACACCTCACAAAATCATCTGACACCAGCACATCATCTCAAGCAAAAAGTATTTACCAAAATATTACTTCATTTAAATTTATATTGACTATGCTGTTAATGAAAAAGATATTTAATGTAACATCACCTCTCTCGAGCTATTTACAATCATCTACTTTAGATTTTATTCAAGCATTAATTTTGGTTGACAGTGCCAAAAAGCAATTGATTAAATTAAGAACCGAAGAGTCGTTTAAAATCTTAATGAATGAAGCAAAAGACTTTGCTATACTACATGAACTAGAAGAAACAAATTTAAAAAAAGAACGGATAAGAAGGAAGAAGAAAATGATAGATGAATTGTGCAGCGATGAAGCCCCTATTGATGCTATTATTAAATTTAAAACCAACGTTTATTTTTATACATTCGATGTTATAATTGAGGCGCTCAGCGCCAAAACAGCCTAACCCACAAAAAAATCAAATACCGTTTTATGTGATAAAATGTTTCAGATTGGTATAATATTTGAAATCCACTATGGCCTATTCCACAAAAAAAATTATCCGCTAGATGGCAGCACATTATTTCTTTTGGCATTGTAATATTATGAAATATAATTTCAGAGCCATAGTGGCCCAACCCTATACTAGTGGATTAGGCCATTTTTTCCTCCAAGAAAATAACTGATAATTTCAGAACCAGAGTGGCCCAACCCTATCCTATTAAATTGGCCAATTGTTTTCCATGAATAAATTAATATTGATAATAATTATTTCCCGGCAAAATAAATGCAGTTATCATTTTTATCAAAATACGAAATTTAGTTCATTTGATTAATTTATTTACTCATGACAAAATAGTTTGTTTATTGTTAATTGTTTCAGTAAATCAGTTGTTATATTTTGTCAATTGTTATTTTATTATTCTTATAATGAACACTCAAGAAATAAACGAATATTTACAAGATGGTAAGTTACTTTATAAGTTTTCATAATATTATGTAAATTTACTGTTATATAAAATTTTATTAATACTGATGTCTGATATTGATGTCTTAGATACTGATGATGATATTTTTCAAGATTCTGGCTCAGAATACTTGCCGTATGGATCAAACAGATCCTCTAGTAGTGACGAAGTTGCCAGTGAAATTAATGATTTTAATAATGAAATTTCTCAAGAAGTTGAAAACAATGAAATTACTCAAGAAGTTGACAACAATGAAATTACTCAAGATACTGGTTCAGATGAAAATACAGCCCCAACTAATTTAAAAACACGTAAGAGACTTTTAAATAAAAACAATTGGATAAAAAATGTGAGAAAAAGTAAAAGGGCTCGAGGTGAAGCTTATATTGGAAGTACAGGTAAATGTGTTCCTGCCAAGACCTTTACACCTATTGTATGTAGTTGTTTACAAAAATGCCATAATTTGATTAACGAAGCCAAACAAAAACAATTGCATAGTCAATATTATGATTTAGGAAATTATGACTTACAAAGTGCATTTATAGCTGTGTTGAGATAGCCAAGGTAAGAGGGACTACACACGAATATATTATTAAGACAGTATTGCACACGGCATACGTGGCAT